CACTCAGGGTACTCCAAGCCAGGACTGCTTTGCAAGCGGGGAACCCCTGAGAACTGTCTGTCCGGGGTGGGGTTCGGGTCTCTTTAAGCACAGCCCTCGGCTATCTTGAGACAGCAGCTCCACGCTCTAAGTCCTAATCTGATGCCCTGCCGGCACTGCTTCCGGCCATCCTTAACCTCGGTTCAGGGTCCACTCAGTGTGGACATGCTAGTTCGAATTAGCAAAACGCTAATTCGAACTAGTTTTTAAGTCTAGATGCGCTAATTCGAATTAGCTTAGTTCGAATTAACTAATTCGAACTAAGTTAGTTTGAATTAGCGCTGTAGTGTAGACATACCCTAAGAGAAGTGAGAGCACAATGCTCAGTGAGTGTCTCCTAAGACAGCCGCACCTTACCTGCGATATTATGTAAGACCAAGTAGGGTAGTCCGCACCGGCGGCCAGGGTGTCTTTGTTTTGAGGAATTTCATGGGCGCAAGCAACGTATCGTCCATCCAGGAGAAGAAGGGTCACCCATATAACTGAGGGCACAAGAGCTTTAAGCAAAACCCCACAGCAGCAGCAGCAACACTCACAGTCTTCATCCTCACCAGGCAGGAAAGCCGCAGACAGAAAAAACAAACTCACAGCTGGAATAACAAAATAGACGACACTGTAAACGATCCTCCAGTACTGCTCTGCAGGGCATTTAAATTCCACCTCCATTACTTTTTCAAGCACTATCAAAATCAATGAGCAAACCGATGTCGAGACAATGCCAAATTGATCTTTCCATGTTTCAAAAAATTTCTTCCTCTTATCCATTCTGCACCCCCAAACCAGACCTCGGCTAACACACAGCCTGGGAGAAACGAAGGTGAAACGTTTGAGCTCTGGGACACCTCTCAACTTTGACAAGGGATTTTATTGAGTGAAAATGAAAGCGAAAATATTGCCTTGTTAAAAAACCGCCCCGTTCTTAGTGTTCCCATGAAGTGGTGGTGTTTAGCTATGAAGACTGTTTGCAAACGGCAGGGCATTGGTTTCAGTTGGTTTCAGCAGTGTCTCGAGAAGTCAGGTTAGAAACAATTTCTAGTTTTCCACATCGCTTATCCTCAGCACCAATTATCCCTCTACGGTGGCAGCTGTTAGAGAAGAACCAGGGGACCCAGGAGCGGATGGGGTAAAAGGAATTGCTTCATTGCCCACGCACGTTTCCCTCGGACATTCAACACAGCGTCTGAGTGGGAACAAGTCGGCAGGAGTTAGAATCTTTGCTCCATGTCAGTAAGTTAATTCACACGGCGATCACTGCTTTTCCTGAACCTTATCTAGTAATGTTAACTCCCATAAAATCAATATTAACAGGCAAATAATGAATACAAATTATACCTGCCGCAAACTGCTATTTTCAGAATTTCAGATTAAATCAACACATTCCTGTGCTATGAACTGACAGGTTTCAGAGATTACAAGGGAGTTGACCCTGAAGATATTTTATATAGCGCCAGTGAGGATAAGCAAAAGACACAACAAAGTCAAGCAGCATGCTAATCTATTTTCCAGGGCTGCCAGGACAAAGAGGAAAACCAAGTTTGGATGGCGATGCCTTTTCTGGCTAGACCCTTTGCCCACCAATGTAGAGCCATTTCAGAACTATTCATTTTTACATACCCCAACAGCGGCATGTTATGTTCTCTACCCGTGGGACGGGACCCAACATCACAGCCAGTGTTCTCTGTAAGCTGGGTGCTTGTGTAGCTGTTTGGGGGCGATTTAAATGCCATCCATCTGATTAGCAGAGCGCCCTCAGCTGGGTTTTGTACTGGTGGTGCACATTGGCACGCACCTAGGAGCACATACATTTTATTCCGCACATGGTTGCAAAAACTTTGCACATGGATGTAAAAGATTAGAGGGAGCATTGAGGGGTTCCCTTCCAGTTTTGTGGGGCAATACATTAAAAACCCCACCATTAGTGAGGCGCTGTGCTGGTTCTGGGACAGCAGTACGAGGTAGGAGCCGTGAACCATGCCTGCCATCCAGCATGGAGCGGAGAACAGAAGGAGGTGAGGGGCTATTGCTTGCCTTAGACAGCAGCTCTGAGTGTTGAGGTTTCACACGTTGCTGTGGGTCATCCCATGGAAAGACAAACCTCTACCTTTGGGTTTGAAATGTGAGAAAGGGCTGCAACCCAGCGCTGGGTTGTTTTCTGCTTTGCTAATACAACCCACTCCCCAAAAAGGCATAGGACCATTTGAACTCAGTGCTGAAGAGTGCAGAGAGGGAGCCGGATTAGTCTGTTTCACCAAGAACGACAAGGAGTCCTTTGCACTTTGAAGGCAAACACATTTCTTAGGGCATCAGCTTGCATGAGATACAGCTCACTTCCTCGGGTGCTAAAGACCAGCCGGCGTACAGAGAGGGGAGTGTGACATCAGCGCTAAGTAAATCAGTGAAGGAGGCTCACCTCCAAGGGCAGTGAGGTGAGCGTATCTCAAGGGGAAATCACCTGCTGTAATAACAGACCCATTCCACGTTTCTATTTAAATCTCTTCCCACGGTGTTCCATTTGCCTGTGGATTCCAGCTCGACAGTGATGCACTCTGCTTTCGGAAGGGTTTTGTTTTGTTTTGTTTTGTTTTGCCTGACAATGGCAATTTGCAAGTCAGTAACTGCGGCTACATCTACACTGAACACTTAGGGTATGTCTACACAGCAAAGTTATTTCAAAATAACAGCCGTTATCGTATATATAAAAGCCCAACATCTGTGCCTCCCTAACGTAACTCTGTAACATTTTCTGTTGCCTCTCAGCGACGTCACGGCATTGATCAGTAGATAGACGGAGCGGAGCGCTTCCTTCATAGCTCATATTCTCTAGACCTTTAATCATTCTTGTTGCTCTTCTCTGGACCCTCTCCAATTTCTCCACATCTTTCTAGAAATGCAGTGCCCAGAACTGGACACAATACTCCAACTGAGGCCTAACCAGCGCAGAGCAGAGCAGAAGAATGACTTCTCTTGTCTTGCTCACCACACACCTGTGAATGCAGCCCAGAATCATGTTTGCTTTCTTTGCAACAGCATCACACTGCTGACTCTTATTCAGCTTGTGATCCACTATAACCCCTAGATCCCTTTCTGCTGTTCTCCTTCCTAGACTGTTGCTTCCCATTCTGTGTGTGTGACACGAGCATTTTGCATTTGTCTTTATTAAACTTCATCCTGTTTACCTCAGACCATTTCTCCAATTTGTCCAGATCATTTTGAATTCTGACCCTATCCTCCAGAGCAGTCACAACTCCTCCCAGCTTGGGATCATCTGCAAACTTAATAAGCGTCCTCTCTATGCCAATATCTAAATCGTTGATGAAGATATTGAACAGAGCCGGTCCCAAAACAGACCCATGCGGAACCCCACTTGTTATACCTTTCCAGAAGGATTGTGAACCGTTAATAACTACTCTCTGGGAACGGTTATCCAGCCAGTTATGCACCCACCTTATAGTAGCCCCAACTAAGTTGTTTTTGTGTATAGATGTGATATTTTGAATTAGCTTAATTCGAATTAACTATTTCGAATTAAGTTAATTCGAAATAGCACCATAGTGTAGACATACCCAGAGAAAAAACTGTTGCTTGCCATTTTAACCAGACTGACCATTCTCTCAATGACCTTAAAACATGCATGTTGCTTCACAAAGATTTGAACTCCAGACTTCAAAGAGAAGCTTCAGAATTGTCATTCATGCTTAAGTTTGACACTTTATGTATGTCTCAACAAAGATGCTAATTATCTCAGCCATTACAAAGATCGCTTCCCCAGTTATCAACCCTAATGTCATTACCTCACAGACACTAACCTTCCCCCCTCACCCACACCCTGTTCTAAAATTTGATTTCTCAATTTTATATGTGTTCACTTTTTTTGATTGTATCCCTTTGGTATATATGGTCGTGCCAGTTTTCTTCCACAAATTGATCTGAGGAAGTGGGTCTGGCCCACGAAAACTCATCCCGTAATAAACCATCTTGTTAGTCTAGGAATTGTAGTCACTCCGTTTGCTTTGTTCTGCTGTGTGTGATTGCTGCTGTCCTGCAGTAACCCTGTGGGTGTGCCTCAGTTTCCCTAGGCACTGCACTACTATCTAGACGGGGAGGGGAATTCCAGGTGGGACTCGCTGTAGGAGGAGGCTCATCCCATCACCATGGCCTCCTGTTCTAAAATTTGATTTCTCAATTTTATATGTGTTCACTTTTTTTGATTGTATCCCTTTGGTATATATGGTCGTGCCAGTTTTCTTCCACAAATTGATCTGAGGAAGTGGGTCTGGCCCACGAAAACTCATCCCGTAATAAACCATCTTGTTAGTCTAGGAATTGTAGTCACTCCGTTTGCTTTGTTCTGCTGTGTGTGATTGCTGCTGTCCTGCAGTAACCCTGTGGGTGTGCCTCAGTTTCCCTAGGCACTGCACTACTATCTAGACGGGGAGGGGAATTCCAGGTGGGACTCGCTGTAGGAGGAGGCTCATCCCATCACCATGGCCTAGGCTCTCAGTAAGCTGGGCTTGGGAGGGGACCAGGTGACCCCTTTTGCCCGAGAAGCTGGACAAAGGCTGTAGGTGGGGCTGGCAGGGACAGAGACGGGCTGGGGGGGTGAGGGGCAGGAGGGCTG